AAATAAATTTTGTTATAGCGCCCCTTTTCATTCAATAAAAGCCAAAGTCCTTACAGTTGTCTGCCGGGTCCTGCATAACTTCCCCAGCCACAGTGGAAACCTTGCTGTTTCACAGACACACAAAGATATGCTCTTGCTGTGGCCCCAACTGGAAATGCTAGATACCCAAATGGATCCCCCGCTTTCAGGTCTTCATGCTGTGATCACTGGGTAAATCACCTTCCCGTCCACCCCTGCACTTCCTTCTCTTCTTAGCACCTGTTAGCACTGTTAGCATTTATTGTATTAGACCACTTTTCTATTTTGTTTCCTATATGTATATTTTGCTAGTTTTTCATCTGCCTTTTCCAGTAGACTGTAAGCTTCTCAGAGGCAGGCTATTTTCTCCCCTTTTGTGTTCACAGGTATATCTCCACTGCTAGGTACAGGGTAAGTGTTCAATCAAGATTTTCTGGATGAACAAGTGAGTGAATCCTGGTGGTAATGATGATGTTCTAGGTTAGGGCTTTAGCAGTGGAAATGGAAAGGAAAAAGAGTATCTGAAACTCTTCAGAGAAAAGCACAGTGGAAGGAATTAGCCAGGACCAGATATGGTAGCCTTGGGTAAGAAGTTGAATGAGGGGTAAGCACATCCTCCAGCCAGTTGGATTTAAGGAGCATCAAAAAGGCAGGGGGAGCTGGCCAGGAGGCCAGGAGAGGGAAGGGCTCAAGTGTGAGGTCTCAGAGTTGTCCAGATCAGTCTGAGAGCTGGGACTACCAAAGTGGATGAAACCTGGAAAGATGGAGAGATGCAGAATGCTAAAGAATGATCATAATCTTCAGTAGGAAACACAAGATCAATGGAGGAAAGACATAAGCAATGACGCCGAAAGACCAGGACATAGCATAAGATCATGCTACATGAGTCAAAGGAAAAGACATTTCAAGGAGTTGGTGATCAACAAAGTAAGGCATGTCAGAGAAGAGCGGAGGACACCAGGCACTAGAGCTCTTTGAGAAAGGGTCAGAGTAGAGAAGCCAGCTTGCACGGGGTTAAAACAAGAATATTGAGGAAATGGGGTCAGTGGGCATGGGCAGTAGAAGAGCAAAGAAAAACACAGTTTCTCTTGAAGGGCCGGGCAGAGATTTTGTCCAGGTGATAACGATCTGAGACAGTTGTGGGCAGGAAGGACTAAACTGATGACAGGAATTATGATGCAGGGCTGGGGAGCATCTGGAATGAAGGACACCCCCTAACAGCAAGAGGGAAGGAGGGAACAGGAGTGGAGGCCGGCAGCTTGGCTTCTTCCTGAAGGCCCAAAGACTAGAGGGCGGGTGTGGAATTGTGGGACACGGTCAGGCACATCTAAAGTGGTGCAAGGAGAAGGTGCTCACCCCTGTGCCTCCATCCTCAACATGAACTAGTAGGAACCAGCCTTCCCCTGAGAATTGGAGAGGTGGAGGCAAGAAGGGGAATTCTATTGGGCGTGATGGTACAAGCTTCTAATCCCAGCTTTCGGGAAGTAGAGGCAGGAGGATGGGGAGTTTGAGGCCAGCCTGGGCTACATAATGAGTTCAAGGCCAGCCTAGACTGTATAATGAGACCTGTTTGGAGACCCTATGCGGGTGACAGAGGGAGGGAGTTTTTTTTTTTTTTTTGAGATAGGGTCTCACTATGTAGTTCAGACTGGTCTTGAATTTGTAGGGACCCTCCCTCCTCAGCCTTCTGAGGGTGCTGGGATTACAGGCATGTGCCACCACATCTGGTTACTGAAATTTTTTTTCTTCTGCCAGGTATGGTGGCACATGCCTATAATCCCAGCACTCTTCTGGGAGGCTGAGGCAGGAGGATCCTGTGAGTTCAAGGCCAACCTGAATTACATATGAAGACCATGTCTCAAAATTTTTAAATCTTTTTTTTTCTCCCTTAAACTCCTTCAAAATATCTGTCTATACTACTGAGCTTGTGAACATTCTCCTCTGTGGGTCAGTGGGGCAATCTGAGTGCAGTACCTTCTGCACTGACCTCAAAAGGTAGGGATGTATGGCCAGCCGGGTCTGCATGATGTTGCCTTTTCCTCATTCACTGATTTACTCATTGCTTCATTGGGGAAGGGTTTATTCACCTTGGTTGGAGACACCTTGGTTCCCGCCCTCAGCCCAGCTACCCTCCAGAACAGGGAAAGGGACCGGCAAACTCACCTTTCAGCCCCGCCCCCCCGCCCCCACACGCTGTCTCCTTGCTGTCTCCCTGCGTTCGCCCTTCTTACCCCGTAGAGCCCAGCCTATGCTATCTCTGAAGGTTTTTGCCTGAACAGCAGAGGCTTCTTTCTCCTCGGAGCCTCCCTCTGCTACTGAGCAAGGGCGAGGAGTCCTGTGAGGGGATGGGGAGGTGGTGATGTCCGTCTGCCTCGCCGAGATCAAAACACAGCTGATAAATCAGCAAGAGCACCCATGCGGTTTCGGAAGGGGCTGTGAGCAGGGCTGAGGAAGGGCTGGAGAAGCTGCTTGGTAGAGGTGACCAAGGTGGAAAAAGTTATCACAGAGCGTTGTTACCGTGCACCGTCCCCACCCCCACGACGGCTCATGTCCCTCGGGCTGAAGCTTCTAAGGACACTGGGGAGCGAGTGGCTTTGGGTGAGGACAGAGCCCATTTTTCCTTCTCTATCTTCCTGCCCAGATGCCCAAATATCCTTCCTGGTTCCCAGGAGGGAAAAGACCCCCTCACCCTGCCCCAGGCGCCAGGCTGCCAGCCCATCTGCTGGGGAGAAAGGAGGGGCCAGTCTTTCCCAGGGGATCCTCCCGAATCAGTTGGAAGACTAGAGTCGGGGAGACCCGTCTAGGAGACTTAGAAGCATTTCGGTTCACACGGGGAACTCGCAGGGTGCAGCAGAGCATGGAGTGGGCTGGGGATGAGGGTCGAGGGCTGGCACGGCGGGGCGGGGTCTTTGGGCCGCAATACGTCTGAAGCCGGCTGAGCCGCAGGTCGGTGCCCACCCGCTGCAGGATGGCAGGGGCGCCCCCCTCCCCGCGCCCAGTCTCACCGGCTCGGAGGCGCCAGGGCCCCCCCAAGGGCCGGGGCGGGCGGGGGAAGGTAATGTAATTCCGGCCCGGCTAACCTGATTATGGCGGCCTGCACCGGGCAGGGTGGCGGCGGGGGCGGGTCTAAGGCTCGGGGCCCGCCCGGCCAGGGTCCCATTCCTGGGAAGGACGAAGAGTTCACACTCTCCGGGCTCCAGGGTTCAAGGCCAGAGGTCACAAAGCCACCAAACGACTTCAGTCTTTCTCCACCTCTCTTCTCGGGCGCGCTCCGGGCGGGCGCACTCTCTGGGGCTTGGATGGGGTGAAGGGTCCATGGAAAGGAGGGGCCGGGATCCTCCCAAGGCCTCCGAGAGCCCCACGTGCTGCCTGGGGCGAGCTCGCCCTCCTGCCTTGGAGAGGGGCGAGTGTGTGAGAACAGACATCCTAGGCGCAGAAGAGGGGCAGAATCCCACGCTGGGATTTTGCACTTTGCGTCTGAATTGGCCCGGTTGAACCGCAGGTCCCATTTGCAACGATTTCAGAAAATCGGAATTCTAGGAAACAGAGCACCAATTACTGGCGCGCCCGGACGGGGCTGGGGACACTACGGGAGAGGACAGGAGGCGCCCCAGCATCGCGAGTCCGGGGCGGTTGTCCCCGCCCCAGCCCACCGAACGCGCCCTGCGAGCCCTTCCCACACCTGTCCTCTTCCTTGGGCCTCCGGGTCGCAGGTCGCCGTTCCCTGCCGCTCCTTGGGCAGCCGGGAAGCCACAACGAGATTTGGCCTTACAGGGCACTTATGTCAGGGCCACAACGAATCCAGGAGCTGGCCAGCGGGCCCCATCGGGGGGTGACGAGTGGGGGCTGGGAAGAGGCACCTGCCGAGGACGCTGGCGAGGCGGAGGCAGCCCGAAGGCGGAGGCCGGCGAGGCTGCAGGCGCTGTGAGGTCCGGGCTGACTCAGCGGCCGGCGCTCGGCCCCGCCCGCTCCGAGCTTGGTCCCTAAACGCCCTCGCCCTCCTCTGCCTCCGCCCCGCACATCCCCGCGGCCGGCGCTCCGCGCAAACAGGCGTCAGTTCCCCTTTAACGGCCGGGCCCCGCCCCTGCCCTACCCCCAACCCCCGCTGCCCACCCGGGGCCGATCTGTCAGTCACTGCCCCAGCCCTAGCTGGCCAGCCCTCTCCACCCGGGACTCGGGCCGCGGCCCCCAGCCTAGCGTCCATCTGCGCTTCAGACCCAGCGAGGGAGCTCTTGGGGCCCCGGCCGGCCGAGCTCCTCCGGGATGCGAGTCCCTGCACGGACGCCCGGCAGGGGCGGGCGCCGGCGCGGCTGCTCCGGGTGCACCGGGATGCTGCTGTTCCGGGGGTCCCGGACCCCGGCTGCGGCCAGCCCCGCGGACGCCTGAGGCCACCGCCCGGAGCGCGCCGCCGCGGGGCTCCCCGAGCGGCCCGGCGCCCTTCCCAGCCCCCGCACCTCTAGCGGTCCTCCCTGGCTGGGACCCATGGAGCCCGGGGTGCTGGCCCCGCACAGCCTTCCGCACCACGAGCCAATCAGCTTCGGCATCGATCAGATCCTGAGCGGCCCCGAACCCCCGGGAGGCGGCCTAGGCCCGGGGCGCGCGGGCCAGGGCCAAGGGGAGAGTGCGGCTTTCTCGGGCGGATTCCACGGAGCCTCGGGCTATGGACCCGCAGGCTCGCTGGCCCCGCTGCCCAGCTCCTCCGCAGTGGGCCCGGGCGGCGTGATCCGCGTGCCGGCTCACCGCCCGCTGCCCGTGCCTCCGCCCGCGGGAGGCGCCCCTGCGGTGCCGGGGCCCTCGGGTTTGGGCGGCGCCGGGGGCCTAGCGGGACTCACCTTCCCCTGGATGGACAGCGGCCGCCGCTTTGCCAAGGACCGGCTCACGGGTGAGCTTGCTCGACGCCTTCAGCGTCACGCCCTTCCCTGCTTTCGCATCTCTTTCTGCTCCAAATCAAGGAGCCCTTTCATCCCTCCCGAGGTGGACGCGGGATCCTCCCGCCCGGGTCTCGGTGCCTCGGTCAGAGGCGGTGGGGAGGGAGCTGCCGTCGGCGCCCTCGCCCTCCGTGCGCGGCAGTCGCTGCGCTCACCCGTGGGGAGGACGGGCAAGTCAGGGGTCCTCGGCCTTGCTCCAGCGGGAGGGCCGATGGCTGTGGCGCCCGCCTTCTCTGACCGCCTCTGCTGATGCGGCCGGAGCCTGGCCCGGCGCTCGGGGACGCCTGGGACCGCCCGCAAGCCGTGCCCCGCTCTTTCTTCCCCCGCAGCTGCGCTCTCGCCCTTCTCCGGGACGCGCCGCATAGGCCACCCGTACCAGAACCGCACGCCGCCCAAGCGGAAGAAGCCGCGCACGTCCTTTTCCCGCTCGCAGGTGCTGGAGCTGGAGCGGCGCTTCCTGCGCCAGAAGTACCTGGCCTCGGCCGAGAGGGCGGCGCTGGCCAAGGCCCTGCGCATGACCGACGCACAGGTCAAGACCTGGTTCCAGAACCGGCGCACCAAGTGGCGGTGAGGCGCGGC